TGGCGATGTTGCCATGGGCTTTGGGGGAGGGAGGGGCTGTTCAGGATGCTAAGCATGACAGGCTGCAAAGGCGAGCTGTGTTAAAGGCGTCTTAAGGCATGCACGTGTAGACACATGCCTAAATCACCTGCAATGTGCCTTGGGCTAAGGTGCATTAAGTTTAGGCACACACAAATTCACATGTAGACACGCCCACTAAGTACAGACATTTCCTCAATTTAGACACTTCCATTGCTTTTACTAGATCATAAGTGTGCTTGTTGCAGTGATGAAAAGGAGATATTGTGGTGTGGATTCTTCCTTTGTTTGGAGGCTTGCTAGAAGTCTTATTTCCCCAGCTCACTATTAAAAAATAAACTTGTAATTATTAGAAAACACAGAGCAATCGTATCCTTGATACTTCTCTGGTTTAGCTATTATGATTACAGGAACTGTGTTTCTAATTTTAGTTCATCTAATAGCTCTGCAGAGGGCAGGGCAGTATGGCATCTTAGGGTATTTATACATGCGCTCCCAGAGTGCGGGGTGGGTGCTTTTAATTGGAGCAGGTCCAGGAGCCACTTTGAAGTGCCTGGAGCATCATGCATATCAACATCTCCATGCTGAAAAATGGTGGCGGGGCGCTCTAGCCCTGCCACCATTTTTCAGTGCAGGCATGCTGATGCATGCGATGCTGGAGTCTGGAGTGAGGTAATTGCCACACTCCAGCAGACTGTTTAATCAAGTCTGCACTGTACAAGTCTGCGGCTTACTACATCAAATGCTATAGCATCTTTGTCAGAATATAAGGTCTGATATAGTAAGATGCTGCTTATAAAAGTTTAAGCCTTCTTATTGAGTTAGTCTTTAAAATGCTATGTTGCCTTGCTTCCTGCCTGACTTGACTACTACAGCTAACTCTCTCTCTCTCTCTCTCTGTCTCTCTCATGATATTACCATAACTACTTTTTGTTTGAGGTTGTGCAGATATCTTTGATTGTTATCTTCTGCTTGCTTTATTTGAACAATATTTTTTTTTTCCTTCAGTTGCACTCATTCTCCTGCCTCTAGCTATTTTTCAGTTTCTCCAATGAGTATTCATTAATTGTGTGCTGTTCATGCAGGAAACCATGTAGAGTAAGTACGTTATCATGAGTATGCAAACCTGTACTTGGTTTCTGTTGGAATGTAGGACCTCAAACAAACATGCTAACAGATTTAGTTCTCCTGCAGATATGCAGCACTGTGTTGCTTCATTAGCCCACCCTGTGTGGATAGGAAGTTTCCTCCAGAGCCTTAATTTAAAATGAAGCAGAACAAGGTAATTGAAAATATAATTAAGGTCATATGTATTCCACTGTCAACTGGAACCGATTTTTGCCACAAGACTTTTTAAATCTGATGCTATGATGGGAACACATCTGAATCTGTGTTCAAACTCCTTAAAAAAAAAAAAAAAAAAAACCCCAAAAAACCCAACTTTTTTTCTGAGCTAAACACAAAAATGGGTAATTCAACCATGCAGCAATTTCTTTTATTTTGGTATGACAGTATATTTTACCTCTTTTTTTTTTTTTTTTTTTTCTTCATGCCCATGGGTGGTTTCACTTTCCTTTCTCTGGGTGAAGGTGAACACCAACAGGCTCTACGTGGCTCACCTAGACTGGCTTTACATTACTGAATACCACCTTCCTTGGCTGGGCTACAGCTGTTGGGATCTCTTACATGACAGCCTGGTCTGGTGTCAACTGGGTTTTCCTGACTTAATTCATAGCTGAGCAGCCTATTTTTGTTTCAACATTGGTCTCCTGCTGGGGGCCTACTCTGAAACTGCCATGTGTATGGCAGACTTGGGCAGTTTCAAGAAGTGACCTCCCCTTCAGGCATATCTAGGGTCTGGGCATTGGCCCAGGTGCCCAGCAGTAATGTCACTTTTGGTCCAATTTATATTGGCTGAGGACACACTCTTGTGTCCCACTGATAGTTGATATGGGGCTGGACATAACCAGGGGTGGGCAATTACTGCCCACAAGAACAGTCTTGTCATTGGCATACCTTAACTGGGGCCCAGTACCTGGGACTGTTGTTAATGGGAGGGCTAGGGCCATTGGGTGCTGCTGCAGTGCATGGAGCAGTGGTTCGATGGTTAGGATGGACACACAGCATTCCAGAGAGGGTAACCATGATGAATGCCACTTCATGCTGGAAACTGGGCACAGTCCTGCTCACATTCAGGAGTCTAGAGATCCAGAGAGATCTTAGTATCGATCCTGGATGGTTGAGGTGAACCGGCCCAAAACCGAAGGCTTCCAGGATCTGGAATAAGAAGTTGCGGTTGACGCTATCAAAGACTTTGTCGCGTGTGGGGTTTTTTGTTTTGTTTTTGTTTTTGTTTGTTTTTTCCTCCTTGATACAGGAGGATGAGACCAATTTTGTTCAGGTCAGTTCCATAGCTGCCAGTAGGTTATGTAGCAGACACAGGTTGTCCTGGATGGTTCTGTCAGGTGTGCAGTAACTCTTTTCTGAGTCTACAACAGAGGTCATAACCATTTTGAGCTGGTTCATCAGAGCTTTGGTCAGGATTTTGTAATCGGTATGCAATAGTGATACTGGTTGCCAGTTCTTTGTTACCAAGATCCCTTTCTTGGGCAGTAGCATGAGGGCTGCTTGCTGGCAGCTGATTGGAAGGATCCCATCTTCAAGGCTCTCCTGGAAGATGTGCATCTGCAACTGTCCATATGGTGTCACAATATTAGCCTTCTGCAGGTTGCCCTCTTACAAGACTGCTTCACATACCTCTGGAAGACTTGGTCAGCCTTCACTTCCCCTCCTGGAAATAGCAGTGGAAATTGGGTAAAGCGCAAATCAAGATTTTTTTTGCCAATGAGGAACACAGTAGGCAACCCAGTACTGCCACCACATCATGCAAGAGCATAAAGGAAGATATTGTG